TTATACTAGAAGAAATTAGGAAATAAGTGATTTCAAAGACTCATGGAAAAACCTGTATGAAATGATGCAGAAGGAAATGGGGTGAGGAGGCAGGAGTACGAAAAAATAGATTTTTGTTCATTAAAAATGTAATTTAACTTTTAAAATAAAAATAAAAGGAGTGCTGAACAAAGTAGAAAAAATGCTGTCCTTATCTTGACCTTTGGCTTAGAAGGCATTGGATTTGACAGTCAGACAAGCTTGCTATGCATAACAGAATCCAAAACCCTAGGATTCAGGAGCTGCATGGATGATTGGGTTTGGATACTTGTGTATGTTCTTTTAGTATCATCTCTGTTAGAGGAGTCAACCCTTGTGGTAAGGACGCCAAATAGTTTCTTTCCCCAAACCCTGAAAAAACATGGACACATAGACCAAAGAAGAAACTTTGCATCTCTACACATTTTGCCTAATTGAGGCAGGGGGATGGTGAATAGGATGATAGAATTAAGAGTTAAAAGGGAACTTAGAGAATGTACAGCCTGATCCTCATTTTTTGAGATAAGACAACTCAAATCTTAAAATGTCAAGTGACATAGCCAAGGTCACACAAATAGTAAATAAGATGATTGGGATTGAAACTTCAGTTTTCTGAGTCCAAATATTGCACACTTTGCAATATATTATGTTTCCCTTTCAGAATGAAGCTTTATAGTTCCCACTATTTGAGGAAGCACACAATTAAGAATTTAAATCTATTTCATTCAATTTCTCTATTTCCTCCCCCAGAATATATTTCTCTCTAATCAGAAATTTTCCATTTTTCTTTGTGCAGAATTCATAATGCAGTCACCTATGCTGGCCAAGATTTAACCAGATAAGCCTGTTTTGCTGGATTTTAAAAAAATTGTTCTTATTTAACAAGTACCTATGAACTATAGCTATGAGCCAAGTGCATGACAAATTGAAAACTTAAAGTTAAAAAAATTAAACAAAAACAGATTCTAAATATGATCTGAAGGCAGAGTCAAGATGGAGGAGTAGAGGGAGCCTTACTGCCAAACTGCCAACATTTCCTTCCAAACAATTTTAAAATAGCACTAAAAATAAAATTCTGGAGCAGAATATTCAACAAGAGGTCAGGGTAAGACATTTTTCCAGCCTAATGCAACTTAGAAGATTAGAAAAAGAGGTCTATGACAGTGGAGTGGGGGTTGGCTCACAGCACAGGCATAAGCAACACCAGGCCTTGGAGGAGGGCTGCTTCAGCAGCAGCAGTAACTTGGGGAGCTCTCAGTCCAGAGATGGCAAGGGCATTGAACAAATGATCAGAAAGAGATTACATAGGCTCTCTGTGCAGGTATTGGGTATAGGACCAGGTACTGCTCGACAACTCCATTACACATTGCCTAGTTCCAAGTTGCAGTTCTAGGGTGGAGAGACAGAGCAGAGGCTGTACTTCCTGGTGGTAGTTCCACAGTAAAGAGAGGAGTGCTAGCATTTGTGGTAGCAAGGGAACAGGCACCTTTACTGGGTAAGGACCAGAACACATTCCAGGACAGCAGTGACCACACCTCTCCCTGGATCATACCACCTTGAAAGCACAGAAAACTTACAAACCCCCAGAACTAGCTATGAAAACAGCAGGGCTTAAAAAACCTTAAGTTTAGGACAGTGACCTTCTCTCAACCCCTTACCACCCTCCAGGTGAACAAAGCCCAACTCTAACTTAAAGTTCAAAGTCAAGAAATAGACTTGGAAAATGAGCAAACAACAACAAAAGAACCTGGTGACGAGGAAGCTCAAGACATAAGCTTAGAAGAAAACAATGATATAAAAATGTCTAAAGGTAAAACCTCAAAGAAAAATGCAGATTGGATACAAGCCCAATGAAAATTCCTAGAAGACCTAAAGAAAAAGATATTTTTAAAAAGACAAAAAGTTATTTAAAAAAATCAACAAGAAAAGGAGAAGAAAAGTTGGGAAAAGAAATTAGAGCAATGCAAGAAAATTATGAAAAGAGAATTAACAGCTTAGCAAAAAAGTAACAAAAAATACTGGAGAATAAACCCTTAAAAAGCAAAATTGGCCAAATGGAAAAAGAGGTGGTTATTCAGTGATTTTGTTGTGTTCAACTCTTCATGACCCCATAGAATGTAACATGTCAGGCCCTTCTTTCCTCCACCATCTTTCAAAGTCTATCCAAATTCATGTTCATTGTTTCCATAAGACTATTTATCCATCTCATCCTTTGCCATCCCCTTTTCCTTTTGCCTTCAATCTTTCCCAACATCAGGGTCTTTCCAATGAGTCCCATTTTCTCATTATGTGGCCAAAATAGTTAAGCTTCAGCTTCGGTATTTGACTTTCTAGAGAACAGAATGAATTAATTTCTTTAAGTATTGACTGATTTGATCTCCTTGCTGTCCACGGGACTCTCAAAAGACCTTCTCCAGCACCACAATTTAAAAGCATTGAGTCTATAGCACTCAGCTTTTCTTACAGTCCAACTCACACAGCTACTGGAAAAAAACTATAGCTTTGACTATATGGACCTTTGTTGGCAAGATGATATCTCTGTTTTATTAGTATGCTTTTTTAGCGTATTAGTATAGCTTTTTTTTTTTCAAGAAGAAAGTATCTGTTAATTTCATGGCTGAAGTCGCTATCTGTAGTGATCTTTGAGCCCAAGAATATAAAATCTAATACTACTTCCATTTCTCCTCCCTCTATTTGCCAGGAAGTGATGGGACCAGTTGCCAAGATCTGGGTTTTTGGGGGGTTTTTTTATGTGAGGCTTCAAGCTAGATTTTGCACTCTTCTCTTTCACCTTTGTCAAGAAGCTTCTTAAATTCTTCACTTTCTACTATCAGACTGGCATTGTCTGCATATCTGAGTTCATTTATATTTTTCCTGGTAACTTTAATTCTGGCTTTTGATTCATCCAACCTGGCATTTCATATGAAATGCATATAAGTTAAATAAATAAGGTGACAATATACAGCCTTATTGTATTCCTTTTCCAATCTTAAACCCATCACCTGTTCCATGTTGTTATAACTGTTGCTTTTTTACCTACATATAGATTTCTCAGGAAATACTCCTCAGCTATACTCCCATCTCTTTGAGGACTTGCCACATTCTGTTGCAATCCACACAGTCAAAGGCTTTGGTGGAGTCAATGGAGCAGAAGTAGATATTTTTTCTGCAATTCTCTTGTTTTTTCCAAATCCAGTGAATGTGACAATTTGGTCTCTGGTTCCTTTACCTCTTCAAAAACCAGCCTACTCTTCTGGTAATTCTCAGTTCACATATTGCTAAAGTCTACCTTGCAGAATCTTATGCATAAGCTTGCTGGCATGTGAAATGAGTGCAATTATTCAGTAGTTTGAACATTCCTTGGCATTGCCCTTCTTTAAAATTGGGATATAAGCTGATATTTACCAATTCAGTGGCCACTATTGAGTTTTCCAAATTTGCTGGCATATTGAGTGCAGCAAGCTCGTTAAAGAAACTAATTTCTTAAAAATTAGAATTGGGCAAGTGGAACCTAATGAATGTACAAGACACCAAGAAAAAATAAAACAAAGTAAAAAGAAAAAGAAAGAAAATGTGGTGAAATATCTCATTGTATAAAAAAACTTATCTGGAAAATACTACAAAGGAAAATATAGTGATATTTCACAAAGGTCATGTACTAGGGCCAGGTGGGGTTTACATCAGGAATGAAAGGCTGGTTCAATATTAGGAAAACTATAAGCAAGATTGACTATATCAATAACAAAAAATATATGATTATATCAATAGATGCTGAAAAGGCTTTTGACAAAATATAATACTCATTCCTATTAAAAACACTAGAAAGCATAGGAATTAATGGAACTTTTCTTAAAATGGCAAGTAGTATCTAAAACCAAGAGCAAGCATTATCTGTAAAGGGTGTCAATCAGAAGTCTTCCCAATAAGAATAGGAGTGAATAAAGGTTGTTCATTATCACTATTTTTATACAACATTGTTCTAGAAATGCTAGCTATAGCAATAAGACACAAAAGAGAAACTGAAGGAATAAGAATAGGCAATGAGGAAAGTATCACTCTTTGTAGATAATATGATGGTATACTTGAAGAACCCTAGACAATCAACTAGAAAACTAGTTAAAACAATTAACAACTTCAGTGAAGTTTCAGGATATAAGATAAGCCCACATAGATCATTGGAATTTCTATATATGGCCAACAAATTGAGGAGATACCCATCAGCTGGAGAATGGCTGAATAAGTTGTGGTGTATAATCAAGATGGAATACTATTGTGCTGTAAGAAATGATTAGCAGAGTGGTTTCAGAAAAACCTGGGAAAAAGTTATATGAACTAATGCAAAGTGACATGAGCAGAACCAGAAGAACACTGTATATACAAGCAACATCATAAGGAAAATCAACATTGAAAGACTTGGCTACTCTGATTAATACAATGTTCTACAACAATTCCAAAGGATTCATGATAAAATGTGTTATCCACATCCATAAAAAGAACTGATGAACTCTGAGTGAAGACTTAAGTTTTTTTTTCACTTTATTTTTCTTGCTTTCCTTTTTTGCAATATGGCTAATATGGAAATGTTTTGCATGACATTGCTCACCTTCTCAAGGACAGTGGGGGAGGGGCTACAGAGAGGGAATTTGGAACTCAAAATTTTTAAATGAATATTTAAAAAATAATAACAAAAGAAATGTTTAAAAAGATTCTAAAAAAAAATCATAAAAATTTAGATTGAGTGCAATAACCAGTCTTGGGTCCAAAGAACAGATGATGAAACAATAGTCTACTCTTTTTTAGAGAGAGCTAGAGGGGCGCGATGGTGTGGATTGTTGTATATACAGTTAGATAGGTCAGCTTGTCTTACTTAACTATTATAAAGAAGAATTCAGATGGGAAGAAGTATACTGGGAAATGATTGCAATATAAAAAGAGAAAACTTAAAAAGAAATTAAAAACAAACAAAAAATTCCCATTCTTACTTGAGTTAGTATCTCTGCCACTTTTTCTTCCATCCTTTCCAGTTGGTTTTTAGTATACAAGCTGCTTACATCATTTGGATAGTACTGTAACATAAAGAAGTCCAAGTTGTTGAAACACTGATGTGTATTACTAGATTAGTATAACCTATGTTTATACCTACCATTTCTGCCCTAGAGCCACCATACTAACAACCCAGGCAGGAAATCACACCAGCTCTGAATCTCGTATGTTTGTCATCATTCCCCATGGAGCTGAAATAGCCTTCAAAGCTAGCTTATAGATGTTACTCTGACTCTGACTTGTAGTGTTTCCCACCATGCATCATGTGATCTAAACACACTGGACATTTGTTGTACTCTTAGCAGTGCTTTTGCTTACAGTGTTACCTTTAGCTGGAATGACTTTCTTCCCTCTTTTCTCCAACCTTTAAAGTCTAACCCAAAACACCCATAAAAGTTCTACTCTATCTAGTCTTCTCTGAATCCTAACTGACAGCAACTTCCCCCTTAAGAGCTCATATGAGACTCTGTATCTCCCTAAAGAATTTATCGTTCGATATTATTTATTTATCACTTATTTATTATTAATATTGTTATTATTATTAGCGTTATCACCCTCCAAGACTTTCAGTTTCATTTCATCAGAAGCCACGTCTTTTCTAAATTTTGTATTTCTCTTGGAGCGAAGTAAAGCACTCTGAACACAGGAGATCTTTAATAAATAACCAAATGAATAAGAAATAAATGGTGGAGAGGACAGGCTAGAAGGGGGGACCACCCAGAATCTCTAACTGCTACATTCTTTAATGCATGTGTAATGAAGAAAGCTTGCTGGCTTACCAGAGATTTAGAAATAATTAAGAGCAGAAATAAATAGCCTACCATAATGCAAAGTGTGATATGTATGAAAGAACAATGGACCAGGTATTGAGACTTAGGTTCCAGTCTCTGTTCTGCTGCTAAATTTCTATATGACTTGGGGCAAGTCACTTCTCTCTGAAGCTTTGTTTCTTCATCAGTAAAATAAAGGGGCTGAATTACCAGTGGCATTTGTGGCAGGGATTGAGGGGCCAGCATAAGATCACGAGACACTTACTTTCTCTTTGCTGGGCCACTACCTACTGAAGGATCTTCCATTGCTATGCTGTTCCTGCATAGTCCCACTCCACCATCACCAATATACTAGTATCAAACCAAGACTGCTCATGACCCACCTACATCAGGGACCAAAATCAAGATCAGGATGATGGCTGCATGTTCTGGAGTCAGAGTATCACAAGGTCACTGTATTCCTCCCTGACATCTCACCCCTAATTTTGTTCTGGGTGCTGGAATTCCAGATGAAAGCCCTAGTCCTTTGGTTCTTTATTTCTACATCTTACACTTAATATAACTCATATTCTGAATATCTGAAAGCTTTGACTACTTCTGGTATCCCTCTCTTTACCGTTCCCCAACATAATTATCTTTTCCCTTTCACAACTTCATTCTCTTTCCTTTTAATTCTCTTTCAAGTTCTTTCTTTTTCCTTTGTCCTATTTCCTTTTTCCGTAGCCTATGCCTTAGGCCTATTAGATTCCTACAAGCATTGCTCAGCCTTAGTGCTGGCACTTAGATCTTAAAGAGAATGCTGATCACTGAGTCTGGTGTAAACTTGCTGCACCTCAAATAGTTACAAATAATTACTCTGAGACTTTGCATTAGAACTATCCTTATACCATCTTTACATGTGAGGCTTCACACCACAGCAACCACAGTCAGAGACTGTCCAAGTTCTTAGGAATTCAGTTAAAAAATAAGAATTGAGAACATGGAAGCCTTAGGCTTATGTCTTGCTATTAGAAGACCATTTATTAGAACATCTTCTCATTAACAATCCATACCTATTAACCCCCAAGAACATTTAAGAGTCAGCTGTTTTTAGTCTAAGACAACCCCAAAGTTAATGTCTTTCCATAGCCATTTTTTTTGTTTGTTTGTTTTTTGTTTTTGTTTTTTTTTTTGGTTAGGCAATGGGGTTAAGTGACTTACCCAGGGTCACACAGTTAGTAAGTGTTATGTGTCTGAAGCCGGATTAGAACTCAGGTCCTCCTGACTCCATGGCTGGTGCTCTATCCACTGCACCACCTAGCTGCCCCTCCATAGCCATTTAGTAGTAATTTTTTCTAACCACAATATTGACATCAGTAAAGTGACTGGTTCTCACAAATTATGATTTGAAGAATGTTTCACAACTCTTACATTAAATAAACTAAAAAGTTCTTTGGTCTCATGTATATTATCACTGGATATAATCACATACACAAGGAATGAGTACAGAAATTCAAAAGCTTCACCTTAAAAAAATTAAAAAAAATTTTTTAAAAAGCTTTGCTTTTATTTTTGTACTAAAGATTCAATAGCTCCAATGATCTTGAGAAAGCAGTGAGAAGTCTACATGATAATGCATGGTCACATTACAAAAACCCACAGACATCTTTTAGAATTGCTTATTTCTTGTTTTTTTTTTTCCCTATATTTATTTCAAGCCTGTGGTCAATTAGCTCAGTTGAGTGAAGCACATTGCTAATGAAGACAGGGCTGCAGGTTTAATTCCTAAATCAGACACAAATTATATTTCTAACTCAGATGTGGGGAAGGAGGAGAGAATGGTGAATCTAGCAAAAGATTATAGATTTTGATCCACAATTAGTTGAGAGACATGGAATCAGGAGACCTTGTTCAAATACCAATTCAGATACTAGCTGTGTGACTATGGGCAAATTATTTTTAGTTTTCTAAGTCTCATTTTCTTTACTTATAAAATAAAGACTTCAAGTGCCATATGAATGAGCTATCATCATTATATAATAAAATCTATTATCACAAGTGGAAAAAGAAACCTTGAAACACATTTCCTATTGATGGTGGATAAACAACATCTCTGAACAAGAATAACATAAAACTACATAAATACTTAATGTTCTGAATTCTAAATATTCCATCTGAAATATTAGAAATTATAGACTAATACTGTCATGAATTCCATAATTACACTTTTTCTATAATAGCAAAGCAGTTTTTTCGTTTTCAAACTATGTAAAAATGGCAATAACAAATGGACAAGTAATGTTGTTATTCAGTCATTTTAGATGTGTCTAACTCTTCATGAACCCATTTGGGGTTTTCTTGGCAAAGACACTATAGCAGCTTGCCATTTCCTTCTCCGGTTCATTTTACAGATGAGGAAACTGAGACAAACAGGGTTAAATCACTTGCCCAAGGTCACACAGCTAGTAATAGTCTGAGGTCACATTTGAACTCAGATCTTCCTGACTTCAGGTCCAACATGCTATTCACTATGGCAATTAGCTGCCCTAGGACAGATATAGCATGTTTAAGTAGAAAACACCAAATTTTCTAGAATTTGGTCCAAAATGTGCTTTACTTTACCAGTGCATAAATGAATCATGACAAATGCAGTAGTCAGTTTTATGGTAAATATTAATTTAAGCACCAACTACCAAATCACTAGTGTTAAGGACTGAGATGGATATATATTTCTCTTACCTAAGTACTAAATTCAAAGTATACTTGACTTGATACAGAAATGGTGATAAAGATGTTGATGTAGATAAAAAACTCAATGAATCTTAAATTGGGTATTCTATATGGTATTTTCTGGCCTAGGAGAAACAGAAATAGTAGACTACCCAGGAACTGTTGGCAAAAGCAATAGATAACTCATAGTTGTCTTGGGTACAGAGTTAGCATTGCTTTTATCACCGAGATTTCACTGTAATGATTTTAATCCATCCAACAGGTATTTGTTGAGCTCTTATGTGTAGGCTATGACGCTTGTCATTGTAAGGGTGTACAAAGCAGACAGTTTTTACCTTCGAAGAATTTGTTACTTAGTTAGTGAAAAAAGACACATATACACACAAAAAGTCACCCTAACAGATACTTTATGCAAAGTGTTAAATGAATTGTGTAGAGAAAATATCTGTAAGACTTCAACCAATCATAGAATCTTAGCATTGGAAGGAACCTCAGAGAGTGTGTAGTCCACCTCATACCTGAACAATGATCTTTTCTACCACATCTCCACCAGTGACCACCCAGCCCTCAGTTTGAAAAGCTCCAAAGGAAGTTCATTCTTTTCTGGGGCATATCTAGTTGTTACAAAAATTTTCTTCAAGTTGACCGGAAGTCTGCCTATCTGCAATTTCTGTTGTTTCTATCTTTATCCTCTGATGCCAAGCTGAAAAAGGATATGGGAGGGCTTAGTGTAGGCTGAGGTGGCAACCACAGAACCAACATTGAGTCAGAGGACCTGGTTTCAAGTCTGGACACTGCTACTTCCTATCTATATGACCTCTGGCAAATCATTTCCCATCTTTGGGCCTTAAGTTTCTTCAAATGAAAATTAAGTTAGTTGGCTGAAATGGTTTATAAGGTCCTTTTCAGCTGTAAATCTTGACATCCTAATGGGCTATAAAGTTCTTCTGAGAAGACAGGAAGCTTGAGCTAGGCCTTAAAAGATAGGTAGGATCTTGAGAGACAGGGAAGAGAGTTTTCTAGGTAACAAAATTGGCAAAGGCTTAGAAGTCAATATTTAATTTCTTCTTGCATTCTGTTTAAATTAAGAATTATTCGCTTTTCAAGAAAACCAATCGATACTACTTTATTACTTACCATTTCTTTCCCTTTGTTTACAAGAAGTTGTGAAATTTGACCCATGGCATTTGACTTCACCTATAAATGAGGTGGGGTTGGGAGGAAACATGAACCAATTTGATGAAATTAATGATGGAAAAATTAAAGGAAAATGCCCAGAATATGAATATCCCCCATTCTGTGTCCTGCCCTCAACAACTACTATCTATGTCACAGAAAAATCTAACTCCTTGAAACCCAGTTTTACTGCAAAGAGATGTTTAATTAGCAGGTTTGGATTTTTTTTAAAATTACTGATATACTTTTCATTCCAAGTGTTCAAAAAAGGCCTTGAGCATTTCAAGTGGTGTAGAGGAACTGCCTATTTTCTTATATCACAACTAGGTGGTACAATGGATAGAATGCTGAGCTTGAAGTCAGGAAAACCTAAGTTCAAATCCAGACACTTACTAGTTGTATGACCCTGGGAAAGTCACTCAACTCTTCTCTGCCTCATTTTCTTCAACTGTAAAATGGAGATAATAATAGCAACTACTTTCCAGGGCTATTGTGAGGATCAAATGAGATAACATTTCTAAAGAGCATAGCACAATGCCTGGAACATACTGATGCTTCATAAATCCCTTCCTTCTTTCCTTCCTTCCTTTCATTAGATCTATGTGAATAAACAATGTCTTGGTCTTCCATTATCACTAAAGGTTCATGTTGCAGAGAGGGAGGGAAAGTGGCTGACATTAAGGTTCTTGCCCCAGAGCTTGCTCCTCGCTTCCCCATCACTGGACCCAGAATGATGGGGCTCCATATCCAGCCCCTCTCAAGGGCTGAATTTCAAGGCTTCCTCCACCTGATATCAACAGTCTCGTATAAGGAATCATCCCCACTACCTTGTATCATCAAAGTATGTGAGAAAATACTACATCAATATGGCCATAGGGGCTCTACTAAGTGGGGACTAGGTCTAAGTCAACAAGCCACGTCTGTGACCATAAACACTGAAATTCTTCTTTCTGATAATAATTTCCTAGACATTCCATCTTTCTCTCTACCTCACTTTCCCTAAACCCATTCCTTATTACTGCAACTTTCAGGCTCTACATCCTTCTAATCCTCCTTTTCACCTAGCTTATCATCCCTGCTCTCACCTCACTTTGCTTCTTTTACAATCTTATGACATCAGACCACTTTTATTATATGTTTTTCTCTACCCTAAACTCTTTATCACATTCCTTTGCAGAGGCTACTCTACAATTTTTCTTCTTGCCTCCAACCCCTCATTCCCCCCCTACTATACTCTTAGTAAGGGCTCACTCTTCATACTTTATTGAGATAATTGAGTCCATCCACATAAATTTCCTCTCCCCTTACACTACAACTGAAATCTCTATCTTATTCTCCACTGACTCCGATTTTTGCTCCAATCTCTAAAAAGGAAGTGTCCCTCTCTTTGCTTAGGACAATCTCTCTGTAAATTTGTACTTTTCATCCTTCTCTCTTTCTCATCTTAAATCTTCTCACTTTCAGATTTCTTTCCCCCTGCCTACAAACATGCCAGGTCTTCCTTGTTTCCTTTTTCTCTTTGTATATTGAGTACCTAGTATAGTATGTTGCACATCTAGTGTAATATCTTGCATATAGTAGCTATGTAATAAATGTATCTTGAGTGATTTTAGAAAGGAAGCTAGTTAACATTTTTATGCTAGTGATGATGGCAACCATGGAGTGATTCTAATTAAGAAGGAGCTTACCAAACCTTTGACAGAATATCAGCTTCTTATTAAGGTTGAGGACAACATCTATTTACATTTAACTTTGTAGGTGCCCCATCAGGGATTACCTCATGGAAGTTGGCCAAGGGGATTATAGACATGCTTCATAAATATTTTATTAAGATATGGGAGAATCCATGATTCATTCTAAAGTACAAGGTAGTACTCTATGTTTTTGTGTGCAAAGGGTGGTATAAAATTGATTGCTTCATGAATATATGACATCAAGGACCTAGTAGAGAAGGAACAGAAATAGGTAAATGAGGGTGAGTTGAATTTCTCAATCAGAGCAGAGGTCAGGTGTGAATGGTAAGAAAGAATAGGATAAAAGAATGATGTTAGTAGGCATCAGAGAGCTAAGTAGATGGTACTAAACTTGGGCTTCTAAGTAGGAACCAAACAAGTCTGAGATGGAGACAGGGAACCGGTTAAGCAAAAACAGTATTTAAGCTGAGCATCAAGGAATTAGGGGAGGTGTCGTGGTGAAACTGAAATACGTAGAAGATAATTAGGAATTAGGGATCTATAATTAGGCTATGACAGACTATGCAGCCTATAGCCTTCAATTTTTGTGAATAATAAAAACTATTTAAAAGTACACAAAATTTTAGCATAATCCCCTCATTTCATCTGTAACCAGGACCTGTTTCTCTGTTTTGTAATCTTAAGGTGTCTAATGTTGGAAGTCATACTTCCTTGGAGAAATTATAATTTTCATAATTTTTCTGAAAATATTTGTCCACCTTTTCATAGTTTTTTCATAATAAAAGTTTCTATTTCTTACAAAAAAAAGATATGGGAGAGTCAAGTAACAACATTATTTTGGATCAAGTATTAGGCTTTATTTAAAAAAACTTTCATAGTTATTTTATTATTTTGCTCTTATATATAATTTACTTTTCACCACAGATGTCTTACTCTGATGTTATTAACTAATTGATCATCACGAAAACACCTTTTTTTCAAAGCTTATTCCAGTAGGTCCTATTAAGCAGGAAGGGACAGCTCTAAGTGCATGTCAAGTGATAGACGACATGATTCTCAATTGAGAAACAGCCTTGCTGAGTTCAAAGTGGTTCAATGCCTGATAACTGGACACCAGGTAAAAATAATTTTGGCTACAACCACTCATAAAATTATCCTACTAAGGTATGTAGGAGTTGGTACCTGCAACAATAGAAGGAATGCCAATAACAGTGTTATCACATGATAAATACAGATAAATATGGTTTTATTTATAGATGCTACTGTTGTTCAGTTGTCTTAATTGTATCTATTTGTGATTCCATTTGGGGTTTTCTTGGCAAAGATACTGATGGTTTGTCATTCCCTCTCTACCTTATTTTACAGATGAGGAACTGAGGCAAACAGGGTTAAATGACTTGCTCAGGGTCCCATAGTTAATAAGTGTCTGAGACTGGTTTTTAGCTCAGGAATATGAGTCTTCCTGATTCCAAGCCCAGTGCTCTATCCACTGGACCACCTAACTGCCCTTTTATTCATAGATAGGTCCTATTAATGTAGAGAGTACATTCCTAGGGCAGAGTTGATTGGATATTGTTGCCAGAGTTAGGGAGAGCATATGAGTCATGGTAGTAGTGAGTTCCAAGCAGGTGGGATTACGGCACACAAGTATTACATGTCTTTGGCTGGGATCCCTAGTCCTGACTTCCTGCTTGAATTATAGTCTTGACTAGATTTCTCCTTTACTGTGACATTTCCCGGAGGTGGCTGGTACTCAGGCCTTTCACGTTGAAAAGTTTCTTTGGGGAACTGAGTGTTTTCTTTCTTTCTTTTTTCCAAAACACATAAAATAAAAATAGCTGGGGATAGAATAATGCAAGAAATTTAATCGAACAAACATTTATTAGAGATTTACCATATTTAAAGTACAGTAACAAGTTCTGGGGATATAAAGACAAAAAAGTTCCTGCTTTTAAGGAACCTCTCAGGGAAAATGTTTTCTTGATTTTCTGCTTAAAATGTGTGTTAGTCAACAAGCACATATTAAATGCCTACTATGTGTCAGGCACTGTACTAAGCCTTAGAGATAAAAAGAAAGACAAAAAAACAGTCTCTCCTCTAAAGAAGCTCGCAGTCTAGTGGAAAGGATACTAGGCAAACAACTATAGACAAGATAAGTTGAAGAAAACCAACAGAAAGAAGACATTAAAATTAAAAGGGATTAGGAAAGGCTTCTTACAGAAGATGGGGTTTTAGTTGGGACTTGAAGGAAACCAGGGAAGCCTGGAGGTGGAGATGAAAAGAGAGAGAATTCTAGGCCTAGGGGACAAGTGGTAAAAATTCTCCAAGTCAGGAGATGGAATATATTCTTCAAGAAAAAGCAAGGAGACCAATGTCACTGGATCAGAGTATGTGAAGGAGAGTGAGTTGTAAGAAGACTAGAAAGGTAGGAGGGGACCATATTGCAAAGGGCTTTGAATGGCAAACAGAGGATTTTAAATTTAATCTTGGAAGTGATAGGGAGCCAGTGGAGTTTATTGAACAGGGAGGATGACATAGCCAGACCTGCATGTTAAGAAGTTCAATTTAACAGCTGAGTGGAAGAAGAAAGATAAGAGGTAATAGATGATGAGAGATAGAGTTAGCAACATGTGAGTCAACCAGCATGTGCCTATGGTATAAGCACAGGGATCATCAAGATGACTGATGCCTGAAATAAACACATTAAAGATATATTTTATTACCAGCATCAAAGTGTTTTCACTTTCTTCATTATACTTGATTAAGGTCTGATTGCCCTGTTCGTGAGAAATGGACATTGGCTGCCTCTTGTTTGCAGATCCAAAAGAAAACCACAGCAGGAAAAGCAGAGCTACTACAAAGGAAGAAAATTCAAATTTATTTTGTCAGTTCAGCAAACACATATTAAGTACTTAGCAGGTTTTTTTTTACCCTCCTTAAAAAATCAGCTTCTAAAAGTGGAGGCCTTATATAGGATGGCTCTCTGGGAGGGAGGAAGAGGATAAAGGTGGAAATTTAGTGATGTAAAAACAAACGATATCAACAAAAATGTATTTTTTTAAAGAAGTGGGCCATTGATCCATATTTCAAAATAGAATATTTCCCCCTACATCATCTAGCTCATGTCCAAGCATGTCAATCATGCTTCATAGAAATCCTTGTAACAGCCCAGGGTCACACTTCCCCCTGCCCCATTTCTTCCTATTCTTGGCCCATGACTTTAAGCAATGGATTATTGGGTAGAAATGCTGTCCTTCTTAGCCAGACAGAAGCACTAGGCAATAGTTGAACCCAAACTAAGTCTTAGAGTGGCGTCCTAATAAAACTTCTTTAAGAGTGTCAAAGAGTCCTCCCATCATTAATTTTGATTGTAACTGTGATGTCCTATGATTCAATGCCCCAGGTTACAGGGTATTATTGAAAGACAGGATGATGTTATAAGCCAACTACTGACCTGCCAATGACATGAAAGCTGCACATATCAGGATAATGGCACCCCCACCAAGTCCTAAAAAGGGCACTGAAGATACACAGGTAATTCCTTCGAGACAGGAACACAGCCTCACATGCAGTATCTGTTTCTTGAAAAATCCTTGCTTATCTAAGATAATGAAGGGCACTAAATAATTACCATTTTGGAGACTTCTTAACATTAGAAGTTCCACAGAATAACCTAGAGGGAAGAAAAGACCCAGTTGTAGATAAGAAAATTATAAACCTTATTATATGCAAATAGTAAACAGCATTTAAAACTAGATCAAGTAAAAGCCACAAATGTGTATTTTTTCAACAAACATTTATTAAGTGCCTACTATGTGCAAGGCACCATGTAACATAGAGCCAATTTATGGAAAATACAAGGAAGGAAAACTTACCAAAATTTTTTCCTAGCTTCCAAGTATCTTTTATATTTCCAGAGGTATCATCTAATTCAAATGTAAAAGGACCAGAGAATGGATCTAAGTCCTTATCCTCAGCTTCCACAAGAATAGGTGCTTTCTGCTCGGTCTTACAAACTTCCATGGAAGGTTTAACAAGAGTAGGTGTGTTGTCATTCTCATCAGAAAGAAAAAGCATCATGGTTCCTGTACTTGTCTGGGGTGGGATGCCTTGGAATAGAAAGAGAACAGATCAGTGAAAGGATTAACATTCATTTCCCCCCCCTCAATTTAAGGTATATTCTTCATCTACACCAAAAAGAACACAAACAGGAAGAAAATTAGTGACAATGAAAGCATTTCAGGAAAAATATGACTTCAAATTAACCACTGGTCCATATTTCATGATGAAATCACAAATCATTTTGAAAACAGCTTGAATCTATTTTCCTACATAATGAAAAATTCAAAATGTCTTTGATAAGTGTGTTTTAAAATGATGGTTTAATAAATGGTAGACATGACATCTTTATGAGGTAGTGTAGTAGGGGGGAGAGGGAGGTGACCTCTGAGTCAAGTAGAGTTGGGTTCAAATCCTGTTTCCAACACATACTGGAGGTGTTACCCTGGGTAAATTACAAAATCTTAGTGTCTAATGCAATTCTCTTAGACTAGGATGCAGAACAGATCCTAATCTGCATTTGCAAGCAGTTTCTTCACAGATTGTTTCCTATACCAATGAAATCATAGGTTCAGTTAAAAACAAACAAATGATATGTTAAGGTTGAAGGCAGGTTGGTATAATGGAAAGTGCACTGGACTTACATTTAAAAGAACCGAGCTTAACTCCTCACTCTAACCTTTACTATCTGAACTTCTGAACTATTACAGTTCTTCCTCCTATAACACTGCTCTCACAGGTTCCACTGTGAGTGCAGGAAAAGCAAGAATAATATGTTAGTCTTAGGGAGTTGTGCTGGTACAAGATTCTCATGAGTGTTCTGTTCTCCTCAGGCAGGGACCTTGGGTTGTCTATGTCTGAGTTACGTACTTACCATCATCAATGGCACTGACAATAATCGTGTAAAAGCTGTTATTCACATAAGGGGATTCCCGATCCACGTGTTTCACTGTAGTAACCACCCCAGAGAGTTCATCCACAGTGACCCAATTGGCAGGGTCATGAACCAGTTTAAACCTTGATGAATGAGGTGCAAAACTGATTTAAAAGTAGCAGCAAGAGGGGAACCAGGAAAACAATATTTACAATGACTATATCAGTGTAAATGAAATGACAGTAACAACCACAAAATGAAAATGAATGCTGTGTGGTTATAGTGATTAAGTTTGGTCAGGAAGAATACAGAAAAAAGCACCTCCCTTCTTATTTATTTTAAGGCAGTTGGGGTTAAGTGACTTGCCCAGGGTCACACAGCTAATAAGTGTCAAGTATTTGGTCTAAGGTCACATTTGAACTCAGGTCCTCCTGACTTCAGGGCCAGTGCTCAATCCACTGCGCCACCTAGCTGCCCCATCCTTCTTTGCAGTAGTGGGAGACTGGGTATGGAATAACAAATATACTGTCAACCTTGGTTGATGGGTTGGTTAGTTTTGATGAATTACATTTTACTTTTCCTCTCTCTCTCTCTTTTTTTTTATTCCTAGGCTTTCTGGGAAAGAGTCAGGAAAGGGGGGTTATATTAGGAAATAAATATGACATAAAAACAAAAAGATAATAAATTTTTTAAAATGTTTTAGGGAAATCACAATGCACATGAAAAGGAATTTAGAATTAGGCTGCAGTTCAAGAATGGGGTAAAAGACACAAGGGTTGGCAGCTCTGGAAACTGAGGTGTACAATAATATGTGATATAAAAGTATCAATGAAAAGTCCCCATCCCTTGTTTCCCCTTGCTCCCTCTTTTGTATTAATAGTAACTATACCGATCTGGGGAGAACATTACGTTTGCAGAGAGAATCAAACTCTTCATTTGACTACTTGCTTAATGGTCAGATTCCATATTAGCAAAATGATTCAGAGAAACATGAAATCTCAATTTTGTCTGTTGTAAAATGAGAGGATGGGTCTCTCCTAGCCCTGTCATTCTATATTCCTTACATCCCTACCATTCTATGGTTGTGTATTGTATGGGTCTCTACCGTAGAGGGTTCTGGGCAGCTAGTTGTGCTGGCACAGTGGGTAGAGAGTGGGCCTGAAGTCAGAAGACTGCTCCTCCTGAGTTCATATCTGGCCTCAGACATGTTACTATCTTTGTGACCCTGGGCAAGTTACTTAACCCTGTTTGTTTCAGTTTCCTCATCTGTAAAATGAGCTGGAGAAGGAAATGGCAAACCACTCTAGTATCTTTGCTAAGGAAAACCCCAAATAGGGTCAGAAATAACTTAACAACAACCAAAGAAAGTTTTAGGTTGTGAGGGCCTTTCCAGTTCTAATGTATGCTCCCAAAGTCTCACTCAGTTCTAAGATTCTATGAGTGTCTTGTCTCTGGTATTTTTGATTTTATTTTATGTTCTTTGAATTGGTTTGTTCCATTATATGAAGAGACGGTTCTAGACAGAGGGAATTCCAGACAAATACTTTAGGTAGTATAAATAGCCCTTTATCTTCCTGTGTAGTATATTTTGAAGAGCTGGGTTCTAATCTCAGTTCTGTTAGTTACTATGTGTATAGTTTGGGGCAAGTCATTTCTCCACAAATCTTTGTTTCCTTATTTTTAAAACAAGGATATTAAACTAGATCATCTCTAAGATGCCTTCTCTAGTTCTCCCAGTGTGTGACACAAGGACATGTATCTTTATTATACAAGAGGGTACACAAAGTCTATCTAATCTCACTGCTTGCAGTTAACAGGTCTTGGTCGAGTTATCAACAATAGATAATTCAGAGACATAGATAAAGCTTCCCCTCCCCCTCCCACCAAAGCAAACAACCAACCAGAATGTTTCAGGCCCTTAGGAGGGTAAGAATAAGAGAAGGTGCCATTTCTTTCCCCTTCCCTCCCTTCTCTGCTTTTTAAAAGCCAGGGCTTTTTATCATTCCATTTTAAAACTTGATGAGCTAAAATTGTCAAAGAACCTGCCACTTTCCCATCTATAGTTTCACACCATCAGGCAACTAAAACTCGCTACAAACATAAATGGCATCAGTGTTTACAAACCAGAAGCACTATAAATGGCAAATCATTCATCCTTGTAGTATCTGAAGCATTAAGAAAGCAATTCTTTAGTAACCTTAGATCTGAGACCTCATTCCAATTAGATGCAAATAGAGTGGAGAGGAAAGATTGTGTTTCACTGTCATTCAACAGCCTGATGCAGCAGAAAGAGAACAGGATTTGGAATCAGAGGAACTAGATTCAAATCCTGGCCCTAACACTGTCTGGCCTTGGATGGGCAAGTTGCTTAACCTCTCTATGCCCCTGTTCCGCAAAATGGGGAGGTTGGGCCAGGGAACCTTTTAGATCCCCTCCAGCACTAACTATATGATTTTAAAGTAACAAGATAGCTGTGAGGATCAAATGGGAAAACATATGTAAGGTATTTTGTATCCCTTTAAAGTACTACAAGAATGTCAGCTACTATGAAGTCTTAAGGCTAAATTTTAAAAGTCCTTGTCTTTCCTTTTTTTGCAACTGCAAGTGTTTCTCCATTGTGGGTAGTCCATCACATCATGGATTCAGAATTAAGCCATAGGAGAAATTAGTTGACCAAGTAAAAACTCTAATAATATTAAACACTATTCCAATGTCTCATCATAGTGTGGCAGTGACCCTGGATTCTCAGATTCTCAAATACAATATAGTTTTAGGTCTAATCATGTTAGAAAAGCTTCTAGTATAGCTCTGGCAACAGCCTGTGCATCTGTCATCTGAGGACCAGTCTAGTTCAGCTTGGAAAGTCTCATTACCAGAGCACAGACCCCACCAGGTGATTACATTTTTAACTAGAGCAACTCATTAGACTATCCCTTAAGGTGTGGAAAGATTGTAATCTAAACCTGTTAGCAGGAGTATCCATGCCAGTGAAGCCATGGCAATTTGAAATACCAATATTGAAAAAGTGAAGATTTTAAGCAATAACAATAGTATCATGTGATGGTACATGCTTCAATCCAATGGCAAAGTACCCTCATTTCCCTCTTCACCTTATGTTCTTGGTGTTCCCATCTGGGTCAGTAGCATTATATCTTCCCAATTGGGCCCCAGGTTTGGCACCGTCAACCTCTTGAACGATAAAATTAGGAGGATGGAACTGAGGAGGGTCATTGGTATCGATAACCTCCACACTCACAGTTGCAGTGCTGGCCATCATGGTTCCATAACCAAGTTGGTCTTTTTCACATGAAGAAAATGGTTCTTCATTTTCAACTACAATAATGAGTTTTCTCTCTGGCAGGTTTTCATAATCCAAAGGCTGTCAATAGCAAACAGAAGACTTCATTAGCAAATGTTTCTTGTTGCTGACATGAAACAGGGACCTTGGGACCTTTGCTCTCTCTATATTACAGGATCAAAGAATCTTAGGGATTAATAGGCCCTCAGAGATCAACTAGACCAACTCATATTTGAAAAAGATCCCCTTCTACAATATTCCTAACAAGTACTTATCTAATCTTGGTTTAAAGGTCTCCTTCTAGTGATGGGAAATTCAATGTCTTAGGAGGGAACTCTTTTATTTATGTATTTATTCATTCAATTATGTATTTATTTACTTATTCATTCATTCATCTATTTATTTAGTTGTGTCATTCAAAATATGACAAATACCAACAAACATAAATCTCTATTTCTATATGAAAAGGACAAGGAAAAGGGTTACATGTGAAATCATGGCTCTGATCATATATAGCTTTTTTCAAAAGTATATACTCAATTCAATTGTTTCAAAGCTGCTTTACTTGTCTGTTGCCTTCTAGACCTTCCTCTGTGATCTTTTGAACATTTTCTTTTCATGTTTGATGGACACACTTCTCTTCCTTTTTTTCCTTTGGCTTCAGTATCAATAGCCACCTCTCTCCCCACCAATTCTCATGCTGTCTTCCCCCTCCCTTCCCCCCCAACAAAAAACCTTCCCTTATTGTAAGTTATCATAGTTAAGCAAAATAAATCCACATACTGGACATGTCCAAAAATATATGCTTCATTCTGTACCTCTACGGCATCACATTTCTGTCAAGTGGTAGGAAACAGACATCAGTCATCACTGAGGAGCAGGGTGGCTTAGTGGATAGCATGCTAGACTGGGAAACAGGAAGACCTAGGTTTATTCCCTGCCTCAGGCATTTACTAAAAGTATGACCTTGGGTAAGTCAAGCTCTCTAGGGCCCAGCGTGCTCATCTATAAAATGAGGCAGTTACATTCAATTATCTCTAAGGTACCTTTCATCTTTATCTTGTGTAATGTACACATTATCTTGTGTTCAAGATAATATTCAGTCTTTAGGAGTCATGGTTGGTTCTTGTATTGATCTGAGTTCTGAAGGCAGCTTTAATTGTTAGAAAAAATTTCCCCCCAAAGACAGCAGAAATTTGCCTCTCTGCATTTCATTTCCTTGGTCTTAAATTCTACCTTTTGGAGGCAAATAGAACAAATTTAATTTCTCTTCTATGTGTCAGCCCTTCAATTTCTTAAAGAAGACTTTCATATTCTCTCCTATCTCCATAATTTTTCTCCAAGTTAAATATCTCCAGTTTTTTTTAACAAGTCTCCATATGGCACACTCACATTGTCTTTTACAAGAAAGTTTTCAGCTCATTCTCAAATCATTTATGGATTTTTTTTTGTCTTTTCATGGCTAAATAAAATTACCACCAATCAAAATAGAAATATACAACCAAAATCAAAACTGAATGAAAAATTAATGTGAAAAGGCAGGCTGCAAAACCAGGGGAATTTTTAAAAAATGTATATTTATAACAAAGTTGCTCAGTATACAAAGTGATTTAATGTGGTGGGGGGGTGGGGAGCAGAGACACATAGGAAAAAAGTATCTTAACTGCTAAGAATGCATGATGCAATGAAGACAGGAGGTACATGCCAAGCCTGAGAATTTTCTTTCTAAGATTTCAAACCTTCTAAGTTATCCTAGTGAGGTACAAGGATCCTGGTTGTGTACAGATATTGGCCAGACAGAGATAATGTTGGTTTAGAGCACTTCAGCACACAGTTTACTAATTCAGCTTTGGAAAAAACTAGATAAGTGAAAATTATCAACAGCCTAATAAAAAGGTTGCTCCAAATCACTTTGTTTGTTGTTTGTTATTCATCCTTCAGAAGGCTATGCAAAGTCATCAGTCTCACACTCTCCTCCAGAGTCATCAGAGTCTAGGGGCAAGACATAGATCAAGATAACTGGTGATGGCCCTGGATATAGGAGGAGACCTGGCCTTTTCAAGATAATGTTCAAATCACTAATGAAAAAATGATCACAAATTAAACCAACTGATCTTTCACTGTGGTACAAAGTACTAAATTTGACTTCAAAGGAATAGGTTCAAATTCTTCTTATGTCACCGCCTGAGTGACTGTGAGCAAGTCACTTAACCTCTTTAGGCCTCAACTTCCTTGTCTATTAAATGAGGGAGTTGGACTAGATGGTCTCAAAGGTCCCTTTCAGATTTAGATCTATGACTATAATTATATACCTACTGAACTATTTAAAATTACATAAGATATAAATGGCTATTGTCAGAGAAGAATCTGGAAAGACCAACACAGCAATGTGCTATTGGTGGGGCTACAAATTAGGACAGACTTCTAGAAAAAAATTCTGAATTATACTAGAAAAGTATAAAGGGAGTATATACTTCCTTTGACTTAATAATGCCATATAGAGAAAGTTTTCAAAGCCATCTCTTAGCAACAAAAAACTGGAAACAAATGGGGGATGGCTGAACAAATTTTAATATATGAATGTAATGAGATTTATTTTACCATACCAGAGGGCAATTATGAACAATCCAGGAAAACTTGAGACAATCAGAGAATCTACTAGAATCTATCTGGATAAAGCACCGTGGCCCTGACTTTACCTTGATGACATTTAGAATTCCTTGATTGGTCCCAGAATCCGTCACAATGTTGAAGTGTTCTTCTTCATTACCATGAAGTATTTTGTATTTTACTCTCCAGGAAGGTGTGAATGGAGAATCATGATCTTGCACTAGGAGCCTTACCACATCCTGTTGTATTTGGCCCTCAGAAATCTGTATTTCATACTGAAAGAAGCAATCATCACTTCAGTGCCATTGAGACCAAGAAAATTTCTATCATTTTCTTTCTTTCTTTTTTTTTTAATCCAAAAAGCCTGGGCTCATCTCTTTACTGAAATGTCTAAAAGAATTTGAAATCCTAATTATTTGACAGAAGAATAACCGATGATAATAAGACACGCTCTCCACCTGCTACTTGGATTGTAAAAGCAGAATTTTTTTTAAATTTTCTTGAACCTGCTATTTTCCCAATATTCCAGAATATTCCTTTAATTTTTTTTATTAATGTACTGTAATGTAAGGACTATTCTATCCTATAAAAATACTGATAATTTCCTAAAAGACTAAAGGAGAGGCAGTTTAGAATAATGGAAAATGTATTAGGGAGTCAGGAAATCTGAGTCAAAATTCTGGTTCTAATACATATATGCCATGTGACTTTGGGTAAGTCACATGCCTCTTTAAGTGTCAGTTTCTTTATCTGTAATATTGGGAAAATTTTCCTTGTACTACCTACCTTACAGGGTTTTTGGTACCATATAAATATGAGTCATAATGACTACACAGATTCAGAAAACAATTTTATGTTAGAAATAAGCCTTGAAATAACTCATTATTCAATAATCTTAGTAACATTTTGGTGCCTTTAAACTAAAACCACAAAAGAGCACAGTCCTTTTTCTGGATTTATTTGTCAAGCAAAGCTCTTTACCAAGTCAGGCAAAAATAAAACAGGCTCAAAAATAGTACCTTTCCCTATCATAATCAAGTTTGTTTTAAGTTTGTTTTTGTTTTTTTTTAAATCATCATTTCACTTTGAATTGGAAAAGAAAATGGAAAATAAAAAAAAAATTGTTTTTAGGCAATTGGGGTTAAGTGACTTGCCCAGGGTCACACAGCTAGTAAGTGTCAAGTGCTTGGTCTGAGGCCACATTTGAACTCAGGTCCTCCTGACTTCAGGGCCAGTGCTCTATCCACTGTGCCACCTAGCTGCCCCCTAAAATTGTTTTTAAAATACTTAACTATTTTGGGAAATATTTTCTTTTAATCCTATGCAAAAAATTGGAAATAGAGACTAAATGTTTGCTGTTCTCTTAATTCTATCTAAAAATAAATCATGCACACTCAAAATAATACACTCATGTTGGTCAAGAATAATGATTCCCAATCTTTTTTCACTTATGACATGCTATCATTTTGGATATTATTTCCTGACATCTAAATCACACTTCTTCACTAACCCTCTCCCCATAATATTATGATATTAAATTAAAACCAATCTTATTTGCAAATTTTGTGACATCTCCCACCCCATCAAGACAACTGGAGACATCCTGGGATAATGCAAACTGGAGACCAGATCTCATTGGTCTTTACGATGATTAAAAAACATAAGTCAACTGTTGGACTTACATCTTCCTTAGTAAATTTAGGCATATGGTTGTTTCCATCTTTGATTGCTATGTTAACGGTAGCAGTGGATGACAATGGTGGCTCTCCATGATCATTTGCTCTAATCAGTAATTTGAACAATTGGCCAACCTGTGAATGGGGGAAAAAGTTAGCTTTCCCAACATATGGCAAGAAAACAAAATTAACTGACTTTGTTGCTTAACTTTTATTTCCAATTGTTTTATAGTATCCCTCCAATGTTTCATGGTGACATAGATGTGAGATCTTGTAGGCTATGCCAGCATAAAGGAAGCTCTGGCAGGTTCTATCAAACTGGAGAAGTTATTGGGCCATTTCCAGAAACAGACTCTGATTCTAATGTCCAAGTACCAGACTAGCCAGGTTCAGAGAGATTCAACAACCTTTGGCTGGTAAGTAATGAAATTTATTGGGGGCTACTGTAATTCATGAATAAAGTTTACTTAAATACAGAAAGGTTGTGATTTTCGGGTTGGACAAGCATCCATTCCAATGAAAACCTAGAACTTTTGAAATATTTTTGTAGGATTGTAGTATTCAGCAGCAAAAAAGGCCTTTGAGATCACCTGTCTAGCTCTCTCATTTTAAAGATGAGAAAATTGAGACCCAGAGAAAAGTAACTTTCTTAGAGTCATATAAATAGCAGATAAGCAAAGCCAACATTAAAACCCAGATTCAATGATAACTTTTTCTTTTTCTTATATGTATGTATATACTTGTTTCTATATGTATATATGTGCGTGTGTGTGTGTGTGTGTGTGTGTGTGCGCGTGTTTTAATCTTGGCTTTGTTTATCTACTATTTCTATGAGCAGCTAGGTGGCACAGTGGATAAAGTGACAGGCCTACAGTCAGAAAGACTCAGCTTCCTGAGTTCAAATCTGGCCTTGGACACTAGCTGTGTGACCCTGGGTAAGTCATTTAACCCTGTTTGCCTTACTTTCCTCATCTATAAAATGAGCTGGAGAAGGAAATGGCAAACCACTCTAGTATCTTTGCCAAGAAAACCCCAAATGGGGTCATGAAGAGTCACACATAAGTGAAACAATTGACAACAATAACAACAACAAAGGTCTTTTCTCCTGCTGAATCCTATAATCCTACAAAAACATGTAGTAAGCTCTAGGGTTTCACTGGAGTGGATACTTGCTTCACCCATGAAGATCACAGTCCTTCCAACAGTGTATAGTGTATGTATGTATGTGTAATCATGTAGTATATGTCTGTACCAAATATACAGTGCAGGCCTAAGCAGCTTAAGAAAGACGCTATTATAGTTATCTATATTTGAGTGTTAATTACCTACTAAATTGTCAACCCTTTGAGGGCAAGATGCCTGACACAGTGCTCTGAATATAGCAGGCATTTAATAAACACGTGATGAATGAAAAAAAAAAGATACACCTACACACTTAGAAGTCATGTATATTACTCACATGTAGGAGACAGAATTCAAGCTTTTAAAAATAATAAAAAAAAATTTATGACCTCATAATCTAAACATCTTGAGACATGGATTTCTCCACCACTGTGATCAATGTAAAACCCATTTCCTTTTATCAATGGCTCTTGTGAAACAAGGAAATAGGAGACTGCAGAATTGGGAGATTGCTCTTCATCCAAATCAACTGCCACTACCTGAAAGATAGGGTTATCTAGAAGGAAAGAAAATAAAAATCAGTTGTTACAATAGATTAAAATTCCTTAGTGTAGTTTAGATGTCTTTTAATTAGGCTGTTAGTGGTCCATCAGAAGTTCTAAATGCTAATGAACTAATTTCCAGGTCATCTTACTATTAGTATAAAATTTAGCTTAAGTAATAGAAAGAATCAGAATAGGAAACTTCAGGCCTACAATATTAAGAACCAAACAAGAAAATATATACCAGAAACCATTCAGTAATACATCCCTTCCCCACTCTTCATTTATCCTGTTTCACTAAACAAAGTAAAGAAGCCTCCATAAAGGAAGTTAAGGAATACTATCTCTGTTTTTATATGTAATTGGGGAAAAATAAAATATTAAGAATATAAAAACTACATTTCCACTGATTTAATAAAAGGAATATGAATCTCACCCAACAGGTGAACAGGTCTCACCCAGATTGTGGTTATTTTTGACAGTGATATTAAATTCTTCCTCAGCAAACTGTGGTGCATTATCATTGATATCACCAACTTTGATAGTGAAAAATAAAGATCTATCCACAATCTTCCGAGTTGAACTGTCAGCAACATCAAAGCGTATCTGGAAAACAGCCACCCACATTAATGCCAAGACCAATTATTTCGGAGGGGGGGCATAATAATATTATCTTTTATAATTTGTTATTCTTTTTTAAAAGTTTATATCATTGTTATATCTCCTTCACTAATATCTCAAATGAATCATCCTCATAAATACCCCATAGCCTCATGCACTTGGAACATATTCTGATTACAATTTAATTGACGCAGAGAAGATCCCATTAAAGTTCAATTTCAATATGCTTCTTCATGTTGTGTAACTGACACAAGCCCACAAAGACTTAAATAAGCAAAGTGCAATTTCTGGCAATGCTTTAAATAGAGAGATTTGGAGCTCTCTCTCTCTCTGAGGTCAACACATGGCCCATGAATATGGGTTTTTATTCTTTGCCTCAGCATTTGTTCTTTTATTTTGGGTGAAGGATATTAGAAGCTCCAACTTTGTGAATTTCAAAAGGTCAGAAAAATAAACCACTTGAGGTCTAGCAGGCAAATCTATGCTGACCTTTGCAGGCAGCTGAACATCAATGTCCCAAAAAGCAGGGAATGATCTTGGAACCCAGCATAGCAGTAGCACTCAACTGGCTGCAGTGCCACATTTGAAAGTGAACTTGGTGGGACCAATGCTTTATAGAAATTGCATTAAATCTGAGCCCTTTCTTCCCAGAGACTGAAGGAGGGTGGGTGCCCTCAAGTTGTTGAGGGAGGGTATTTGTATTTCTGTTCGTATTATATCTTCATATTTTAAGGTAAATATCTATTTTTAAAAGCTAACTGATATTAACTGGTTTAATGGAACTATGGCACTAATCATTGGTTCCTAACAATGAAGGAAAACATACCCCTAATGGGTTACCAATATGATAGCAGTAGAGAAGAGACACCTTAACACCCATGACCCTGAAAGGATGATATAGTCAGCCTGGTTCTGGGAACACTGGGCCCAGAGAGTACTTGCGGTGCTTGAATGAAATAATTTATAAAATACTTCCTGTTTCACAATACTGTCTCTCCAAAGAGAGCTTTGCTAATAGAAGAACCACACCTACAATTGAGCTACTCTTTGTAAATATTCTTCAGGGAAATTGGGGGGAAGGGGGGAAAGTAAGCTGTAACTGAGTCAGAGTTGTTGGTAAGGTCTGAGGTAAAGTGAGAAAATAAGGGGTTGAAAAAGGGAGACAGAGGGTTATGTTAACAAATCTCAGAGCAGAAAGAGAAAGTCACCTGAAGTCATGAATAGGGGTAGGAGCCACAAATATAGAATCAGGAACAGTGGAGGAATCAGGATTCAGAGCTGAAAGGGACTTTGGACATCACCTACAACCTTTTCTTTTTACAGATGAAGAAACTAAAAACCAGATAGGTCACAGGATCATAACAATTATCTAATTCAACTCTCCCATTTTCATGAGGAAATTAAGGTCTAAGAAAGCTTCATAACTTGCCCAAGATCACACAGATAGGATGTGTCAGAACCAAGATTTCAACCCATGTTTTCTGACTCCAAATACAACTTTTTACTACATGCTGACTTTCCCACAATGACACAGCCAGTGGTGGAGCCCAAACCCAGACCTGGCTCCTCTGACTCCTAGTCCAGTATTCTTTCCACTACGATACACTGCCTCTTTACAAATCAAGCCCTGGTAGTTATTCCAAGGATTAAAAGAAATCCAGATTGTGGTCAATGCCCAATAATCCAGATATAATATAGAAGGTTTAGAACTAGGGAGGATCATAAAGATCATCTAATCATGAATCTTGTTGTTGGAAGTTATCTTAGAAGCTATCTAGTCCAACCTGTATCTCACCAAGAATCTCCTTTACAACATTATCAACAAGTGGCCATCCAATCTTTGTTTCACCAGTAGTGAAGGAGAACAAATTACCTCCCATTTAATTTTTGGTTAGCTTTAACTGTTGAGAAGTTTATCTTTACTAAAGTTTAAATCAGTCTCTCTTCAGCTCCCACCCATTTATATCTAATTTTGCCCTCTGGAACTGAGCAAAGTGTAATTCCTCTTCCACATGAAAGCTCTTCAAATAACTGAAGAAAGATACAAAATCTCTCCTAAGACTTTTTATCTCCAGGATAAACATTCCTGTATCTTTTATCTGATCCTCCTATAGCAGAATCATGGGGTCTTCAATAGCACTGTGGCCCTTCTCTGATTGCTTTTCAACTGAGACTGGCCCTTTACCCACTATGCTATGCTGCTTCTCTTATGACTTCATATTTTATTATTTTCCCCAAAAAGTGGGATAGCTACACTCTAAACCAGTAATTTCCCTCAGGTAATATGCTGGGAAAATTTGTTGAATTTCCACCAGGGCCTGAAAAGTCAGAGCAGATGTAGGAACAATCATGTATATGTTCTACATTTGGAAAGATTTTCTCTGTGTGTGGATGTGTTTGCTATGGTTGAAAAATTTGTTTCCTAGAAGATGGGTTTTGTCCCTGAATAAAAATAGACATTATATGTCTCTGTCTGCCCTTACCTCTCAAATATTTTGACAGTTTTCAAGTTTGGCTGGCTCTTTCTTAGGGGACTGAAGGAACTGGATGCTAAACCAGAAGATCCCATACTCTCATTCCATTACCCCTCAAAAGTCATCAAGGGTAGAATGTTTTCTTTACTCTTGTGACTCATCCAGACCTTACCACCAATGATGGCCTAGATTGTTTAAAAACTATCCTAACCATATAAGAGTCTAAACTGAAATGTCAGCTTCCTCCTGAGCTTCTCCCCAGTGAGCTATTATTTTTAATGTAGTACTTACCGTTGGTGCTACTTATCCAGCTCTTATCTTCTGAAAGCAAAGGGTCTTCTGTTACAGTGTAGAAAGGGGCCCAAGAGAGATTTAATATTAAGTGGAAATGGTGTGGCACGGATGACTTTGAACACTTAGATTTGTACTTTTGACACTTCCTTACCTGTGTGACTTTGGGCAAGATTACAACCTCCTTGGGACTCAGTTTCTTCATCTGTAAAATGAGCAGTTTGGACTAGATGGCTTCTGAGGTCCCTTCCAGCTTTAGGTCTATGATCCTATAATTATAATAACTGGTTCCAGATAGCACTTTAAGGTTTGCAAAGCATTTTACATAGATTCTGTCATTTAAGCCTCAAAACAACCTTGAGAAGTATGATACTAAAGACATTCTTACCCCCATTCTACTGATGAGGAAACCGAGGCTTAGGACATATAAATGACCAGTACTTGGTCACATAACTCAAATATCACAGACAGAATTTGCTATCTCATTGGGGTTAAATGAAAACCCCTAAAATGAAATCCCTAAAAATTTTTAAAATGAAAATCCCTAAAAAGCTTTTATTGAACATATACTCTATGCAAGGTATTGTCATGCTAACTCTTCCCTGAACATGACATTCCATTTTCCACTCTTGTCATTTTCAATGGCCTGACTCCAAATAGATCAAGCACAATGTCCACTATACCACACTGCCATTTTACAGAGAAGGAAACTAAAGTTCAGACGGGTGAGATGAGTTGCACAAGAGTGGGTAAAGGGAAGAGCCAGGACTAAAACCACGGTCTTCTGACACCTAGGCCAGAATTTTTCTGTTGCAGGACACTGCTCCTCTTGACTATACCATGCATCTTAATCTCCTTAACTCTACTATAACCTCACTGAGAGCCAGGCCTATGTCATATTCTGCGTTTTATACAGATCTGTGTTTCTCCTTTGCATCCATACAACTTAATTGAATAAACATTTACTAAGCATCTACTATATCTAAGGCACTGGGCTTACAAAGGCAAAAACAAACCAATCCCTGACCTTAAGAAACTGATGTTACAAAGGGAGAAAGCATGTACACAGATGATTTAGATACAAGACAATTTTACATTAGATACAAGATAATCTTAGGAGGGAGAAAGCAGTGACAACTGGGAAAATCAAGGAAATTATGGGTAACTGAGCTGAGGCTTAAAAGATGAAAGATATCCTAAAAAAGCAGAGATGAGAAGGAAATGTACTCTGTATATGGACTACGGAAAATCACAGAATAGAAAATGGAATGTCAACCCTTATGTTGCAAATATCCCTCTAGTTACCATTGTTATCTGGGAGTCACCTTCATGGCCACTTAAAGTTTCTTCATGTTTTATCAAGTGTTTTGTCTGGAAAGGATCATAAGATGAAAGATTTAGAACTGGAAGGGACCTTAGATGTGGAGTCCAACTCCATTTTGAAGATAAGGAAACTGAGGTCCAGGGATGTTGTCCAGGGTCTCACAGTTAGTAAGTGTCTAAGAATAGAATGGGAGGGTACTGTGCCTTTACAGAAATACATTTTTGTCTTTATAAGGGTTTTAGGAGAATTTCTACACATTTGGACATAATAGAGCCAGATCCTATCAACGCATAAAAAGGGTATTTCCCACTTTGGAAAACTACACTAACTCTTTAGGGACATGGAAGTAAGACATGGGAAATTATTATTCTGGAAAATATGTTTGGGGTTCTGAAAAGGTTAACACCCTTTCAAAGCAGACAATTTACTTCTAACACAAAGAAGAATCACACCCAAGGCTCTGTAAAAACCTGAAAGGTAGGGTGCTATACCACAGACATGCAAAATACAAATGAACTTGATCCTTGCTTGTTGAGTTAGTTCTTCAGAATTGCATCAATGGAGTTTACAGATATTTCAATAGTGACTCATATGCTAATACAACCTAAAGTCAACAAGCAAACAAACATATTCACACTTTGCAAATGAAAACTTAGAAACCTTCAAACTTCCTGGTCACCTTGGGACACTTGTCACTATAACTAGGATACATAGTACCCCATATGAAATTTTATCTATCCATATTTTTCCCTCCAACTACCCTAATACCCCTTGGCATATTCTCTGGCTGCCCCCCATTCCTGGAATGCTCTCCCTCCTCTGCTCCAACTACTGACCTCCCTGGCTTCCGTTAAGTCCTAACTAAAATTCCACTTCTACAGGAAGCCTTTCCCAATCCCTCTTAATTCTCATGCCTTCCCTCTCTTATTTACTTCCTATTCATCCTGTACAGAGCTTGTTTGTATAGATTTGTTTGCACATTGTCTCCTCCACTAGTTTATAAGCTTTTTGAGGGCAGGGACTATCTTTTGACTCTTTTTGTTTCCTCAGTGCGTGACACATAGTAGGTGCTTAATTAGTGTTCACTGACTGACTGATATACTTTAGCTCTGAATTTTTAGTGTATTAAACTTTTTTTCTTTATCGTCTCACTGTGCTACTCCAAATACTATGGAAGGGGGGAGAAGAAAGAAGATTAGAGAGGTAAAATTGATAGGTACCACAAAAGATTGTATTTGCTCTCGATCAATCGGATAGTGAACATAGACTTTCCCATTACGGTTATCTTCTAGAGAAAACAGACCAATTGGATGCTCATCCACACCAGGTCCACTGATTGTATATATTAAGGATTCATTGTAGTTCAGGTTATTGAATAGCTGTAAGTAAAAACACAGAAACAATATTTTTTAAAAAATCATTCTTCAGATAGAGTGTTCCCAATCACTGAAGCAGGCTATTTCCTCTCCCTCATGTCCTGTAACCAGTTTTCAAGTCTTGGTGAATCTACTACTGCCAAAACGCTTATTCTATCAGCCCCCTTATTTCCACTCACTTTTTCACAAACCCTTATCACCTCTCACCTGGGCTACTGAAATAAACAGACCTAAATAAAAGACTTAATTATTCTTCCTACTTTCATTATCTTCTCTCTCCAATCTATCCTCCACAAAGCTACCAAATTGATAGCCCCAAAACATAGAGCTGACCAGAATACTCCCCTACTCAAAACTCTTCAGTGGCTCCCTAGTGCTTCTAATATAAAATAAAAAAAAAAAACTTCAGCCTTAAAGCCATCTACAATCTGTTTCTCACTTACCTTTCTTGTCTTAGTTCCCATTACTCCCCTTCATTTCCTCTCTGTCCCAGTCAAATTGGCCTATGAGCCATTCCCAGGACACAACATTCCCTCACTTGCCTCTATCCCTTTTCACAAGCCATCTTCCATGTAAGGAAAGCACTCCCTCCTCACTTTTGTCTCTACTCTAGAATTCTTACTTTCCTTCATAGCATAGATTACAAAACCTTTCATGATGTCCCCTTGTAGTTGGTGCTCTGTAAATTACTTTGTATATACGTTGCATTTACTTATCTGGGTACCTGTAGTTACAAACTGAATTGGCTTGGAGAGTGGACTGTTAAATTTTTCAGTGTGAGCATCTATACTTCAGAAATTGGCAAATACTACAAAGCAGGACTTGATTTACTGTTTTGTGGATTGTCTAGATTTAATAAAGTGTTAAGAATGCTGATTGAACATAAAAGTGTTTTTGCAGAGAAGGTTGTTAAACATTTACCAGCACAACCCTGATGTATCCACATAGCACAGAATGTAAGCTCCTCAAGGAAAGGAATAGTTTTGTTTTGTTTTTTCAGTCTTTGAATCCTGGTATCTAACAGTGCTTTGCACATGGTAGGTGCTTTAAAATTTTTGCGGCATTAAATTGGAAGATGTATACATTTTTGATTAAGGAATTATTTTTGTGAATGCTTTCAGGATTTTTATCTATTTCCAGTTGCTAGATTTTTAAATGGCTAGGAGGGATAAAAGCAGATGGACATGTGGCTTACCTCTCCAGCAAGCTTGGGGAATGGTCCTGGGTCTTCCTCTTTGAGCTCCAAGGTAGTGATAACCCAACTTCTTTTAAAACGCCATAAAGGCTGATGATCTTCTGCCTGGAGAGTGTGTTAAACCAAACATATTGTAATCAAGCCACGGAAAGAAAATTGCTGTAATATTACTGTGAGGTGGCATTGTATGATATGTTTATGAGTCTCACAAATTGACCATAGCCTCGCTGAGATGAAATGCCCTTTCCCTTAAATCCCTGGCAGATCAATGTGACTTCATAAATGTAAGCATTTTGAATCTATTTTTCACTTTGTTTTTCTGAAAACCAAAACAAGTTAAGGCACTGAAAATCTCCAGATTTTCAAACAAGCTTATCAGAAAAAAAAAAACCCTGTATCTTGCATATTATTAAGCATAATACCTACCCTCATCTTTGCCTGATTGGGAAATTCATTTTTTGCTGACTGGAGACAGATGGCTACAGTGACCTTGGAAACAAAAATTAAGTTAGTAGGCAATACTATCAAAATGTTCATTGACAGATACTAGTTGCCTAAAACATGATCTTCATATGTTAAAAAAGGGGGCGGGGAGGATATTAGAAACTCTGATCATATACAAAACCCAAAATAAATTTATATAATATGCAAAAAATATACTTGGTATATTTAGCTGTCTAAAAATGTTAATTTGTTTAATTTACATTTTTTGACTATCCTAACTCTTGGCTATATCATGCTGCAGAGGATAGGGCACTGGACTGTGTGATGGAAAAGATACAGGTTTGGGTCCTAGTTGGCTTTGACATTACAATTTGTTATTATTGAGTCATTTCCAGTCATATTTAACTCTTCGTGATCCCATTTGGCAGTTTTCTTGGCAGAGATACTGAAATGATTTGCCATTTCCTTTTCCACTTCATTTTACAGCTGAGGAACTTAAGTAAACAGGGTTAAGTGACTTGCCCAGGGTCTCACAGCTAGTAAGTGTCTGAGACCACATTTGAAGTCAGGAGTCTTTCTAACTCCAGGCCCAGCATTCTATCCACTGCAGTGCCACCTGGCTGCCTATAGCTGTTTGATTTTAAGTAAATCATTCAATCTCTCTGAACTGATTCCTTATCTGTAAAATAGGGTTTGCCTCAGAGAGTTGTCATGAGGAAGTGCTTTGTAGGCTTAAAAATTGCTATAGAAATGTGAGCCAGTGTTAAATAAGGGCTAAACAAATATGATTCTGATATAAATTCACTGATGGCAGGGACTGCCTTTAACTAAAAGTATTAGAGCCTACTTGTTAATGTCATAGTTTATGACAAATTTTCCCAACCATATGCTCTATGTCTGTCCTTTTTTCCTAAAGGAGAGAAAATTTCAAATGCCTTGAGTGGGATTCTAAAGTCTTAAATATCAGCAAATTCACGCAATTACTCCTTTTTGATTAATGCTAGCAGTTCTGAATTAAGAGCCAAACCAAGGTTTTAATTTTTTTTAAACACACTTTTTTTTTTTTTTGCTTTTTGGTGAGGCAAATAGGGTTAAGTGACTTGCCCAGGGTCACACAGCTAGCAAGTGTCAAGTATCTGAGGCAGGATTTGAACTCAGGTCCTCCTGACTCTAAGGCCAGAGCTCTATCTACTGCGCCACCTAGCTGCCACTTAAATATACTTCTTATAAAAAAACAAACAAACAAACAAATATAAATTCAACTTTGCTGAGATTGATAACAAATAGTAATAATGTCAATTTCTTCTTCTAGGCCTCATTTTCCTTTTTTATTAAAAAAAAAAAAAAGAGGGAGCATTATATGAGTTTATCTCCAAGGTCCTTTCTGGTTTTGAAATTTCTATGTTGAATAAATTAATTTTTAAAAGGCACTGATTAAGAACTCACTTTATGCCAACCACTGTGTCAAGGGCTGGAGATGCAAAAAGCAAAAGATGAATACTCCCTGCTCTTGAGGAGTTCATACTCTAACTAGGGAAGATTGCAAATATAAGAAAATTCCGCTGCAGAGCAGCTAGAAAGACTCAGAAGTCCTAAGACTGTAACAGTGGAAGAAGAGGGAAGTGGGTTAGGGGTGGGGCAGAAGAGGGTGACTTCATGGTGAGGGGTCCTTTAGGTTATTTAAGTAGTTAAGCTGACAGTACTGGGAGACTGCAACCCATGGAGGCAGGGAAAAAGGCAAGCCTGAAGGAAGCACTGGTAGAACAGATGGGAAGGTTTTCATAATGTCTTCCTATTCATCGGAAGGAATGTAATTGTTAATGTTAACCAATAATTAAAACTTCATGTGATAAGGGTAATAACTTGATTTATTAAAAGAGAAAGGCATGTGCATGTGGGAACTCCTTATACTAAGGATTTCAGGGAGGGGGATAAAAGAAGGAGAGCTAATAGAAAAGAGGGCAGATTAGGGAGGCAGTGCCAGTAGCAAAACATTTTGACGAGAAACAGGATAAAAGGAGAGAGAGGATAAATGGGGGGAAATAGGATGGAGGGAAATACAAAGTTAGTAATCACAACTGTGAAAAAAAATCTTACAACAAGTTTCTCTGATAAAGGTCTCACTTCTCAAATATATAGAGAATGGAGCCCAATTTATAAGAATATAAGTCATTCCCCAATTGATAAATAAATGGTCAAAGAATGTGAACAGACAGGATGTGGAAAAGTTGAGACATTGATGCACTGTTGGTGAAGTTTGTGAACTGATCCAACCATTCTGGAGAATAATTTGGAACTATGCCAAAAGGGCTATAAAACTGTGCATACCCTCTGACCCAGCAATAGCACTACTAGATATGTATCCCAAAGAGATTTAAAAAGGGGGAGAGGGGAGAACCTACGTGTACAAAAATATTTATAGCAGCTCTTTTTGTGGTAGCAAAAATTGGAAATTGAGGGCATACTCATCAATTGGGGAATGGCTAAACAAGTTGTGACATATGGTTGTGATGGAATACTATTGTACTATAAGAAATGATGAGCAGGATGCTTTCAGAAACACCTGGGAAGACTTATATGAACTGATGCAAAGTGAAGTAAACAGAACCAGGAGAACATCGTACACAGTACGATGATATTGAAATATTGAAAGTTACTAGAAAAAGCCACAAAATCAAATTGATTTCACCCACTACAAATTCATGGTACAGAACTTCAAGTGGTTCCTTCCTGCTCATGACTATTCATTAAGTCTACTAAATTCCCCACAACGATTATTCCAAGATATTTCTTTTCTCCTTCCACCACCAATTAGAACCCTCTTGAAATTAGAGCAGGTCAACTAGCTTCCTCTTTCACTGAAAAGATATCAACCATCTTCCATGAGTTGCCTCATCTTCTCCTCTAACCTTCTCAGCATCATCACCTTCTCTCACCTCTTTCCCACAGTAACAGATGAAATAGTTCTATTCCTCACCAAGTCTAATCTCTCTTTACCCGAGCTCTTGATCCCATTTCCTCTTGCTCCCTCCAGGACCTGGCTAGAGTTGTAGTATCTTTCCTCTTTTTCTTTTTCCTAAGTCCTTGCCAACTTCTTCTCAGAAATAAATGAAGGAATTCCTAATACAGGAATATCTTGTTTTGTTCTTTATTATTTAGGCAAGTCTATTAGTGCCATTTTTCCAACAGCATGTGCTCACATCATATCTCTTTGTCACATTTTTGGTAATTCTTGCAATATATCAAATGTTTTCATTATTATTATTATATGTTATGGTGATCTGTGATCAGTAATCTTTGACATAACTATTGTAATTGTTTTGGGGTGCCATGAACAGTGCTCATATAAGATGATGAACATAACTGATAAATGCTGTGTATATTCTGATTGCCCCACTGAAAGGTTATTCCCCATCTCTCTCCCTTTCCTCAGGCTTCCCTTTTATTCCCTAAGACAAACCAATATTGAAATTAGGCCAACTAATAAGCTTATAATGGTCTCTAAGTGTTCAAGTGAAAAGAAGATTCAACTGATGTGACAAACTTATATTAAGAAATTGTCTTATATTAAGAAATTGCCACAGCCACCCCAATCTTCATCAACCACCACCTTGATCAGTCAGCAGCCATTAACATCAAAGCAAGACCTTCCATCAGGAAAGAAATTACAACTTGCTGAAGGCTCAGATGATAATTAGCATTTTTAACAATAAAGTATTTTTAATTAAAGTATGTGCATTGGAGTTTTGAGCTATAGTACTGTTGCACACTTAATAGACTACAGTAAAGTATAAACATAACTTTTAAATGCACTGAGTAAACAAAAAATTTGTATGACTTGCTTTATTGCGATATTTGCCTTATTGTGGCCATCTGGAACTGAACCCACAATATCTCTGAGGCTTACCTGTACATAAAAAAGCCTTCTTATCTACCTATTATCATATTTTTATCCTACTCATAAACATTCTTACAAAGTTGTTTATGCCAAATATTTAACACCTAAAATATATAGGGAATTGTTAAAAAGGCAGAAGGGTAACTTCCAGGCCATGAAAGATATATATTCAAAGCATATGAACAGACAATCTCTAAAAAAGGAAATGATCACTTGAAAAAGGCTTGAGCTCATTCGCAATTAAAAGGATACAATTAAAACATCTTTGTGGTACCAAGTCAATTCATGAAATTGGAAAAAAAAAAGAAACAAATTTCAATGCTGTAGCAGTTACAGACAAACAGGTACATTCATTACTGGCAGAACTGAAAACCTATAGAATGTTTTTGGAGAACAGTCTAACAAAACAGTAAAAGTTACAAAAAAAATAATCATAGCCTTTGATCCAATAATCTCATTGTTGGAATTATACTTTAAAAGTATTATCGAAATCAAAAAGAAAGAAAAAAACAAAGACCTATGTGCTCAAGTATTTTCATAGCATCCATATTTAAATATTGTTCCAAAAACAAAGCAAAACAAAACTGGAAGCAATATAAATGTCCAGCAAAAGGGTAATGTAATAGAATATCATAATTTAATTATGACTGGTATGTATGAGGAATACTGGAAAGACATTTATGAAATAACACAAAGAGGAAAATAGCAGAAGGAGAATTGGATGCAAAGACCATATTAAAAAAAGGAGAGGAAATGAACATGAATGGTCAAAGGATCTTGATGGATGAAAAGTGATGATATTTTATTTGTTTATTTAGATCAGTTAATGTGTACTTATTGAGCAAATTTAATTAGCTGGATTTTTATTATTAAGTTTTTAACAGGTAACTTAATTAAAAATAATTTGTATCTCATGCTGCTATTTCTGTTCTACCCACTTTTAATAACCTCTCTATTAGGCTTCCTACCCTACCATGATACTAAAATTGTTTTCTTTAATAATATCAGTGACCCACAATCACCGAATTCAATGGCCCTTTGATTCAAATTTCATTTCTCTTAATTCTCCTGGAATTAATGAATTTTAGCATTTTTGCCCAAAATGTGGTAAGTTCATGGAATATTTAACTACCCCTCTCATATGATA